GCAGAGTATCCAGTCTCTTGGTATTCTATAGGATGCATTTCGATAAGTGTGCGCAGAAATTACACGCTTTAATTCCTTCCTCTCCTTTCCACCATCGGAAAAGCTGGCGGTCGGCGGGTCTTCACCCCTTTGTTGTTGATATTTCACGCATTAGAACCAAACGGTTTGCTCCGTTTTTTGTAATGCCTACAGCAAAGGAGTGGAATAACTTGCCGGCGTCTATCTTTCCGTCCGAATACAATCTAGGCGTCTTCAAGGCAAGAGTGAATAGGCTTTTGTTACGATAAGACAGTGCGATTTACCATCTAAGGCTGCGTCACCACTTACCACCAGGTGGGATTGTGGTCAAGCACTGGCTTATAAGAAGTAAAAAAAATAGTAAACGGTGAAGGAAAACTTGCATGTTTGAGAAATTAAAAAAAATAATGCGATGACATCTGAAGACCGCCAACACGGTTGGGGCAGCGCGGTGCACATGTCTTGTCGTAAAACCAGCTCAGAAATGAGAACCGGAGGCCATATGTTTAGGTCCTGTGCTCAACAGTGGGATAAATCAAGGCTGTAACTTTACCTTACTGAAAATAAAAAAAATGTATCAACTATTTAAGCAATATTTTTTAGTGAAGAAAATTTTTCTTCTTACTTGTTCACAGTAACAGTAGAAAATCGACATACTACAATTCCGAATTAAATAAGTCACTTGCTTAACTGACAATCGTAACATATAAAATATATCATATCGACTTTCATTGTGATATTGAAATGTTGCCTAGCTTTCGGCGCATGCGCATGATGTAATGGTTTTTGGTTTTTCATAATGTGAGACGTATATTAGTTCCGGTTGCAAGCCTTGCATAGATCCGTTTTATAATATTAAAGTAAATATTACAAAAAAGCTAACATTGGTGAATTAGGTGCTAATAACGTGTAGTAATAAGTGAAGGTAACAACAGTATAAACTTTACTCCGAATTCCATTCTATTTAAAGGATTATTATAAAAAATTACACCTTCAAATGTTATGATTTAAATCTTTACGAGAAATATTAAGTGTACACTCATATACAAATTTATATTTAAATATATTAAGTTTCTAAATCTATTCTTTTGATTTAATTTATTATGATTAAATTAGAAACACAAAATAAATAGAACCGTAAGTAACAGTAGAGTATGAAATTTATTTTAGTGTCTTATTTTATGTCACTGGAAAGCTACAAGTGATACCAAAAAGGCAAATCTTTTATTCATCACGTTACTTGGTTTTAGAAGGTATAAAATTAGGACCTTGTCACAAATCATTGTGCATTAAACGCGTGGAATATTATGTACACCTACTAACAGGTACACATAAAATGGCTCTACATGAATCACATCATTTATGCCTGTAAAATATAAAATTATTTATAATATTCAAAGGCCTTACATTATATTTTACAAATGCTGAAACACTCAGGATTTTTTCGTTTTTTTTTTAAATAAAGATATTATGGTTATGCTCTGATCGCTTGCGGTTGGAGGCCGCATAGCTTGTGGTAAGAGTATTTGCTACTTATTGCGGTGCTAAGTTTGACCCATAATCTAAATCTGTGTTCAATGTATGTTTTATCTATAGTCAGCAGCAGTCACCTAAATGATGGAAATATTATATTAGACTTTTAATACAAATTAAAAATCGACTTTAAAGAACTAAAAGGATTAAAATTAATAGCTTCACAAGTCGGTGCTGTGATAATTATTTAAACTAAAAAGATTAAAATTAATAGCTTCACAAGTCGGTGTTGTGATAATTATTTAAACTAAAAAGATTAAAATTAATAGCTTCACAAGTCGGTGTTGTGATAATTATTTAATTTTTGTTCATAGGAAAGTATATACGATACATATAACAAAAAAAAACAATTTTTACAATTTTTGTATCTTTCTGTCTGTCTGTTTGTTCTGACTAATTTCCAAAACGGCTGGACCAATTTTGACGTGACTTTCACTGGCATATAGTTAATGTTATAAGGAGTAACTTAGGATAATTTATTTAAAGAAAATAATTAGGGTTCCGTGCAAAAAGTTAAAACCCATGAAATCGTCATAAATTCCAAGCGGGTGAAGTCGCGGGGGACAGCTAGTTAGTAATAAAAGTGTGATTATTTAAACCTTTTGTGTGCACTAAAAATAGCCCACTGTGTAGCGGCAGTGTAAGAATATCCAGTACCCCATATCGTTCCGCTGATGTAGTAAGAAGCGACTGAGGGAAATAAACCTGGAGCAACAACGTTTTTCTAACATCAAATAGAAAAGAAAAGACTGTGGTTGCCAACTCGCCTGCAGAGCGTCGCAACTATGGCAAATATTATATATACTCTTATGAGGCAATCAATGGGGAGGCCTATGTTCACAGTCGACTCATGAAATGCTTTAATGGTCACGGTAAAGTATATAAAAAGCTCGAATGACGTCTTAATAGCTTCTTTCTAAATTTCTCCCTTTTTTGCCACCATAATGGAATTTTTTCTCCAAACTTATTTAGAACTTACCCTGAAGTACATTTTAAATTAAAAATAATCATTAATATCGGTTCACGGTTGACGAAGATACCGCGTAACATACATACAAATAAAGAATATACTATATAGAATTGGGAAAGTTTCTTTTTTTAAGCGTATATCAGTGCATTTATTTCGTACAGAAATACTTATGCCTTTGATTAGTGTTTTATCGATTAGCGGCCACGAACGTTTTACGTGGTAGAGCCATGCTGCAACTATATTACTAGTATAGTTGTAGCACGAATGGGTCGGCTCGACCGGGGAAGGACCACGCTCTTACAGAATACCAGCGTAAAATAGCAGTTTAACTCTGCTGTGTTTCGTATGGTGAGTGTAGAGAACCGGAGACCCTTTTTACTGGAAAAGAGGCATTCCATCTTAGTCCTCACGGGTGACGACGTATCTGCATTTTGATTCTTTATTGAGGATAGATGTGGATGTCTATGGGTCACAGCAACCGCTTACCATCAGGTGGACTGTGTGCTCGTTTGTCATCCTATCCTACAAAAAATAGTTGCCTAAATGGTTACGTCGCTTATTTATAGTACTAATAATTATTTGCAGAAGAAAGAGTGACGAATAATCATAATGTATTTTTAATAATAAGGGATTGCTGTGGTCCATAGACATGTACATTTATTCCCTATCTATACAAATAAATAAAATTGAAGTGTCTGTTTGTAATGTCACAATTACAGCTTTTTACTAAATACATGTGAAAATATATACGATACTAATAACAAAAATATAATTTTTAAAGTTTTTGTCTGTGTCTGTCTCTCCGTCTGTCTGTCTGTCTGTCTGTTTGTTCCGGCAAATCCCCAAAACGGATGGACCGATTTTGACGGGATTTTCATAGGCAGATAGCTGATGTCAAAAGGAGTAACATAGGCTACTTTTATTTTAGAAAAAGAATTAGGGTTCCGCGCAAAAAAATTAAAACGTCAAATAACACGCGGGTGAAGTCGCGGGGAACAGCTAGTTAAAAATAAAAATGATAAATAAGTTGTTACTCCTGAGGACTAAGTTGGAACGCTACTTTACCAGTAAAAGTGATCTCCAGTTTTTGTCATACGAAACAACATACGAAATAACGAGTGGTAATTATAACGGTGGAACCGACCCATTCGTGCTACAGTCATATTTTTATTTATGGTTATGTAAAACATTGTGGAACAATTGATTATACCTATACTATTTTACCAATTTAAACTGTCGTATCAATGTGAAATATTTCTCTTTGCCTCCCTCTTTATATCACAGTTGATGATAAGGGCAGAAAATGGATAATGGAACTCTTTGGAGAGCCCCCTAGTTAATTCACCGAGTTTTGACTCGTTGACTTTTTTGAATTTGATTGATCGAAGTGTTGAGCAATAGATGATGGTGCCGGAAGCGTTCTGTTTCCGTTTTGATGAAACTTCCCATTTGTTTGTCTTAGGAGAAACTAAAAGTTCTCTATCAGGTTACAAAATATCAGATATGAAATAGATATTCCAGCCAACTATTATTTAAAGATAATTTTTAGAGTTATTGCACATACTAAATCATCACATCAACATTCTTTTAATGACAACATATTAAAATAAGATATGAAAATGTCCCAGTAGGCCTTAATTGCTTGGAAAGTTTTACTATATATACCACACTGATGGAACGGGTTGACGAGGTCATATACCGTGCCAGTAATGCAGCTTCCTTACAACAGTTCGTCATCACTGTATGTATTGATTTATGAACCTGTTTTCGTAGTAGGAAGCGTTAGTTTTAAAAATATGCAGGATTAAGCGTCTCACGAAAGTTGAATATCATGAAATATTAACTAAGGTATTTTGAAGTGAACGTTGCACCGGTGACTATGTACTAGACATCACAATACGTGTAACGAATAAAGATACCGATAAATTAAAAAATAAATCACCTTTAAATTCCTTTCCCGTCACCTCACATACTCACAGATAAAAATAACATAATAAAACTCTTCGTTAATTTGATTATAAGAGCTACAATACTTTGAGTTTGTAACTCCAGGAGCCCATTTATGAAGTGAATTACTGATGCATTATTATTAATGCACGTCATGTTACTCGAGTTTTAAGAACGGACAGTTATGTATATATTTGTTTAGCTAGTTAAGAGCTAGTCAATAGCTTGGTTTCATCATTGACGCCTGTAAGTTTAAATACTAAATAAAAAAAATAAACGAAAGTTTTCACTGTTAACAAGTGATAACTATGCATTAATCGAAAAGATTTTTGTTTGTCTGAAAGAATCGTTTGTTAACTCACGTATAGGTCTTCGTACCGGTTTAGGTGCGCAAACGCAGGTCAGGTGAAGAAAAGGCGCGCGCGAAGGCAGCACTCGTCAGTCGCACCAGGGTCGTCAGAGGGGTCGAACTGCAATCTAGTCATTGTATTTTATATAATATATTTTTAAATATTGTGATTCAAAGGTCACTATGAAAGTGTTCATCGTCTTAGCGGCGGTCGCCGCCTTAGCCAGTAAGTACTGAAAAAATATTTATACATGAAATTAGCAATTTATAAAAACTACGTGTTGAAATATTTTGAAATGTTAAATAAATATTCACAAATGAAATAATATTAAGACAAATTATTATTTAATTAAAGTAAATCATAATGAGTTCCTTAATAAAAAAAAATTAGTAACTTAAAAAAGTAAAGATTCTTGCATTTTTATTCTTAAGCTCAGCTAAGTGTAAAATGTTTCCTAATTTCATATGCTGTATGAATAATTTCGACAAACATTTATAAAATTGCGCTTGAACACAACAAAATGGAGTTTATTCAAGTCTTTGTCATAGCCAACATTTAATCTTGTATTAACATCGTCATGATACAAATAAATATTGGCAATTATTGAGCTCAAATGCTGTGAAAACATTCACTTAAAAATGATCGCTATTGGAACACATGATTTCATTATATTCGTTTTGTGTGAAATTAGCTGCTTGATAAAAAAAAAACGACTTAATTACTGATCGCGTTGAAGTCTTTTGAAGTGTTAAACGTTCGATCGACAAAAAGCTTTTCAAAACGTTTTATATGGACCGATTTTAAACTAACAAAATCTCATTATTTGCTATCGTAACTTTCTTTATAAAAAAATAATTAAGTATCTACTACGTCTTTATGATTTTCTTGTTTGAAACACATTATATCAAAACATCGTAACTCCCATAGGAACATAATGTACTTTTATCTATCCGATTATGCAACACTCAATTGGGACGAAGTAATAATGTCTGTTTATAGGCTAATTTAATTTATTTATTAAACTATAAATTCCAATGTTTTAGAGAATTGAAAGTAATGATTTTAGCGTATATACTATATTATAATTTTAGTGTAAATTATTTATTAATATCTTACTCTGTAATAATTTAAAAAATTGAAGTAAATATACTACTATATAAAAATTATTTTTCTCCTGACATTAAAGTATCTGCATGAAACTTTTAGCACTAACACTAAATTTAAAAGTCAAAATTAGCATTAAGTGTAGATAGTTAAATTGATACACACATTCACAATAAATGTGATGAAGCCAAGCTGTGTTATAAAATTAGCATCACCCTCGAGTCCAGTCGTAAAATTATGATATTGACTTTAACTTTATTTCTTCTCAATTACAATCATACGAATTTCTATAAGTTATATAGTTAGGAAACAATAATAATCATGGCTATCCCTCTTAGATATTAGGCTTTCTGTCTGTGTTCATCTTTGGATTGTATTCAGACGAGGACGAGTGCCTTTATTAACATAAAGGCGTGCATTTACAAACTATAAAGACAGTCGTCCCAATATGCCAGTGCCCATATAACGCTTATGCAATGAGGTAAACGATAGGCTGGAATATTTTAGAGACACAAAATCACATTTCAGAAAACTATAGACTAGAAAAACTATAATGTGTGTTTTTGTACAAATATTTTTTTTGGAAATTGAACTTGGAACCACGGCCTAATTGCCGAGTACATTGATCACTAAGCCACACGGTCGTAAAACGCTATAACACTCACAGAATATTAATATTGCGTCAACAATACTGTATGTAGCTTTATCTTGAGTCGACGAGAATTAATTTGCTACAATCAAATAAATTAGAAAATATATTTTTTACTCTCCTTTAACTTATATTGTATTGTTGCTTTAAAAGAAAGCCTTTGCATCCATTTATGTTAGTATAACAACACAAAATATTATGTTACGTACATATATTGTACATGTGAAAAAATGGAGAGATTGATGGGTAAATTGTTTCACTAGGGGCTATGGAGGGATTGATAAACTAAATAATTTACATAATAAAAAGATAATCCTTAAATGACCCTAATTTATGAATTTAATTTTATCTGGCCTTACTATAATGAAATTGTAAAACATTTTCGTGGGCAAAATAGATAAAAATGGAATGAAACTTTGAGATACGTGAAAATTAAGAACATATTACAAGTCTATACAAGTCGATACAAATTTATTCATGGACAGCAATTTGGTAAGCTATGTCTAGGTCACAATATAATTCAGTGCAGCTGGTTATAATCCAGTTTTCAATTGCCTTAATTATTTGTTATTAGTAACTTTGTAAAATAATAAATTAATATGAAATATATAAACGTCAGTAATTTAGTAACCTTAAGCGTTGCTTTTCCCATAGTAAAATAAAAGTTATCCACCAAATAGATTTATTACCTGACTGAATATGAAAGTAAATCAATTAAACAATTATATTTAAACAACTTTAATTTTATTTAGGTATTTTTTAGGGTTCCGTACCTCAAAAGGAAAAAAACGGAACCCTTATAGGATCACTTTATTGTCCATCTGTCTGTCTGTCTATCAAGACCCTTTTTCTCGTGGAAGTATCAAGCTGAAATTCATATCAAATACTCACGTCTACTGTCCCTTGGAGCTGTGAAAAAATCAAACGCAATCAAAAGATACAGCCGTTTACGCCGCAAATTTTCGACATTCGCAAGGGAATCAAAACCTACAGGGTACTTCCCGTGAACTCAGAATCTTAAAATTTGGTACGAAGCAACGTATTATAGTACAGATAAAGGAAAAATTGCGAAAATATATTAATTATCATTTAGTTATCGTTAAAAAACTCGTCAGTAGTGAAATAAATCTTTTATTACATTTCCGTATGGTAACAAGAATTTTACTATGTAGGTTTTGGCCAGAAAATATCAATAATTTAAGAGACTTAATGTACAACTGTCTGTTCTGATTACAATTTGCACTTTTTTGTGCAATGAATACACGTTTACTGTTTGTAGCATTAATCCAAAAGACCATTATGCCACGTATCTGAAATTAGATCGATTTTGGGGTCTTACGGCGGTTATTACTGAAAATTTCTTGATAGAAGAACCCAATAACTTAACCATCAACAGTCGTGCTTACGACTAGAGCGATGAGACAGTCAGAGAGACAGACACAGACAGAGACAGTTGAGACACTATAATGTACCGTTGATGGCTTTTGAAAGTATTTGGAAGTTTACGCAGTGATTGAATTGACCAGACCAAATTCAAATTATTATCAGCATCATAAATTGAGAAAAACGTGTAACGTTTGGTTATAATATCGATAAAATTCACGCATTAAAAACTTGAATATTGACGCAATGTAAATATGAGTATGCGATAAAAAGAGAATGTCGATTTTATAAATATAATGAAAACTAGACCTCGGAAAATTACATTTTAATATATTTTTTAACTGCTGTCAACGATGAGCAGAGAAACGTGGCAGACACTTGAGCGTCAGGTTTCCGTAACCAGTTTGTCTTCTTTGTTTTTTTGACATGGAATAAAATGAACTTGATTTAATGTGTCAAGGTTAACATGAATTAGAAACTTATGTAAAGGTTAAAAATTATAATTTTAATGATCCTGTTTTTTATTCGAAGATTCAATATAAAAAGCACATAACTACAAAATGTCAAAAAGGTAGAAATCTAATTATAGATTAGATAGGTTGATAATTATTTTGTTTCATAATAAACACGGACCGGACTACATTAATATAACACAAGGAAACTTATACAAATTATTCTTCTAAGGTTACATCGCAGCTTCGACCCCAGTGCATCAGCGAACGATGCATCGGTAGGGTCCCGATGTTGTAAGCACCACACTTTCACTTCTCGGGCCGTGTACGTTGCGTCATCTCATTCGCGTGTTGCGCTATGAAGTGCGGGCGTCGCGCCTCCGCTGGCGTGTGAACATGTCCTAATATATTATATGTATTATGTAAATAATCAACGTACGAAAATTAAATGATGCATAGGTAATTTGCATTGACGGCCGATGATTTAAAAATGTTTATAGAACATAATTTATCATAATTCATGTTAAAGGAAAATATGTAAATATTACAAATTATTTTATGAATTGTTAACATTTTTATAGATGAAATAATATTTTGCACATGGGTTAACTTCTGTTAGATCTCATAATTAATAATCACATGCTTCTGAAACCTTTCATATTTTTGTACGAATATGAAACAAAAATCGTTAAATTATGTAAACTCCGCCAAATATAATAAAATAATTTTCCTGCTTCCTGGTGAACGTAAACTAATAATAAAACTGTTACTTTTGTATCTTTTATACCGTATCTATAACAAGCTAATTCTTTATAATTTTTATGATATTTCCGATTATTACAATCAAGCAACATGATCTGTCAAGGACGAACACTTAATGTGAATTATAATATATATTTAAAATGCAAAGCAACATTCTAATATTAATTTAAAATTAAGAATTCATTGAAAATATCTAAATATCTTTCAATATTTAAATTCCTAATTCAGTTAATACTGCAATAACACCGCTATTTTGATATAATGTCAAGCTTTACGTTCGATTTCAAGACCATTATGACTTGGCTAGTTATACCTATTGCTTAAGATAGCGAGAGAGTAGTTGCGTGCCAATTCTTTGAGTCGATAATTACATAATAATGTGTGCCATTGTGTAATAAAAATCTGACTCGCTTGGCGAAGCCAAAAGACAGCCAAAGTGTCCCAGATTAAGCACGAAAGGAACCTTTTTAGGCTTTTACTCAAAGTACCGATTTATTATATTATAATATGAGATTATTTTAAAAGTTATATAGTGAATTAATTGTACTGCTATTATGATGAATGTTATATCGAAAACATAAAAATTAAGTTTCATGAAATAAACTTAGTTATTTAATATTATTCAAACGTGTCATAATATTTATGTTATAGATAATTATTAATTTTGGATAATTATTTATGGTATATAATTTCTTGTTTATGTATTATTATATAAGAAATAAACAATAAAAATATTACACTTAATTTTTCAAAATAAATTCCATTTTTAAAAATAGAATTTGGGTTTATATAGAGTTTGTTTCGTTGTAGTATTTTTTTTTTTGAAAGAAACGTTTTATAAAACCTTTGTCACTTATCCACTGTACCCATGACTTATAGTTGCCATTGATGATAAGAAAGCTTGTTATTTTCTTGCTATCAGGATAAGTATAGCCATCCTGAGAGGAAACACAGTCAGCGTACTTGGCACTATACCACGGGAAGTAGGAATATCAGATCATTTTATTTTTAGCTTTTAACTACTAGTTTTTATAAACTATTATTGTTAATATTAAAAATATATTACCACATGTAATTAATTTACTTCTTTTGCGTACTTTAGATGCCCAATTCAAGTGCCCAAACAAAGATGGCCAATACCCAGACGACCAACAATGCGACAAGTTCTACGAGTGCGTAGACGGCGTGGCCACCACCAAACTTTGTCCTGACGGGCTGGTGTTTGACCCCACAATCAGAAAAATCAACAAGTGTGACCAACCTTTCAACGTTGATTGCGGCGACAGGACAGAGCTGCGTAAGTCAATTTTAAAACATTGGTTTTTATAGCCACAATTCTTTTTATAAAAACATCATTAACTGTGTATATGATCGATGAATCGACCGATCGATGAATCGTCAAAATATATTAATATAATATTACTATATTTGATTTAGTGACTGTACGTCAAGTAAATTGCTTTTTCTTACAAATAAATACTATACTATAGCGGAACTTATAAAATGTATTAATTGTATGCCTTGTTGAATAACTCAAAACTCCGTTTAATTGAACAATATTTTGCTTGAGAATTTTCATTCCTTTTATGATGGAATACAATATGAATGAATAGTTTTATAGGTCCTTTAAAAGTATAATGTAGTATGAGGTATAATAATGTGAAGGCCGTTCACAGCACCACCGTAAAGTGAAGGTGTCCCGCGTACCTTTGACCGCTTAGTGCTACTTGATTACTGTCCTTATTTGGCAACCGATATAAACATGTTGTATTTGCCTTTGTAGCTCGGTTGCTAGGCGCTCGCCATGAATGTCACTGTGTGTTAGCAACCCAAAGCCCATCAATGCAATTATTAGTACCAACTTTAAGTACTGATTAAAATTATGCAGTCTTGAAGTATGAAACTTATGAAGTCCGCAAACAAGCACCGAAACCGACTTTTTGGAAAATATATTAAATTATTTCCCACTTATAGCTTTAGAAGTCAGACATAATGTATATGTGTATTAAAGCTCCAACTTCAGAAGCTATAAAATTACTTTATTTCTTTTAGTTTATTGATGCCTGCTTTTACTTCTTATCAACAGTCGTAATTTTTTGAACCTAAGTGGAGACTAAGAAAAATCACAAGCGCGAATGTCGTCTAAATAGTTGCATCAAATCTTCATTCCCTATTTTTCTATTCTTATGGGTGGAATTTTTTCTTAAAATCTAATGGGAAAACCTCTGAAAATAATCTATTTATTAAAAAAATATCATAAAAATTGGATCACAATTGACAAAGATATAGCGTAATAACATACAAAATAAAGAAGGTACATTCGAATAGAAAATCTCCTCCTTTATTGAAGTAGCTAAAAGCTAAAGTAATTTTATGTAAATTATAACATGCTAATATCGTTGTCTATCAGACGGGGTAAAGAACGGCAAAAAATTGTTCGTAAAATTTTATCTACCTACGAGATCGTAGATTTATTCATGAATAATTGAAAGGAGATGATCTTAGATCTCTGTAACTAAGGTATTTGCAATGTTTAAAGTTCGTGCTAAGTGTGTTAATTTCAATACCTCTGTCCGGCGTTTAGTATTATACTGAATATATAGAAATTTTATACGTGCTGTGTAATGAAACGTGAAAGGAATTCGATACCGGACAACGCAACTCGTTGAGCCAAGGCGAATGGGTTGGAAACGGAACAATTTAAAAATGGCGAGATTACTTAGCAACTTTATCGGGTAAACGATATTTACAGACTTCCTTGTTCTTAGAATATCAGATTCGTAGAAATACAGACTTCATTTTGGAATGCTGCGGCAACATGCTTTCAAGGTTTTTCCATATTGGTATTACCTTTATCCCCATATATACAATGAAAGTATTTTCAACTCAACGTGATGCAATATATTGGTTTCATAAATGTTTCGATTTTAAAAGTTGTTTTCATTGGCTCACGCTCAGTTTTTTGCAATAACTTTGAAATCGTAACTTAGTTTTGTCAATGAATTATTTAAGAATTTTATAGGCTTGAGCTATTATAGCTCTATTAAATGTAAACTTTCGTAATGTTTAATATAAAAATTAGAAATGAGTTTTATGGGAAAATAGTGTAATATATAAAACATACTTATGTACCACAAAAATCGTTAAATTAACATCATAAATAAATAACCAAAGTCGAAAATAGAACATACACCTTTTTAAGGACGACCAAACCAAACAAATATTTTTGTTTCTTGCAGAACCCGCCAAGCCCACCACTCAATGCCCACGTCGCAACGGTTTCTTCGCTCACCCCGATGCTTCCGTTTGCAACATCTTTTACAACTGCATTGAAGGTGAAGCTATTGAAGTAAAATGTACAGCTGGACTTCACTTCGACGAGTACTCAGGCACCTGTGTCTGGCCCGACTCTGCCGGCAGGCAAGGTTGTCTAGTACAGGAGAGTAAGTACAGCATTCATTTTTAAAATAAATTAAATGACTGCGTTATCTACTCATAGAACATCCTAGTTCTTAAGGTTAGCAAAATGCCGAGCAAAAATATATATTTTTTTTTGTTAATTTAACTTATCTTTACTTATTTATTATTCTTTATTATTCATAAATAATTTGGGTGTTTGTTTGAATTGGAAATATTATAGTCTAAGTATAGACTGCTCTGGACATGGGCTCATTCTACAAGCTCTTTTTTTTAATTGATATTAATAAAGTGTGCGCTCGACGCATTTGCCATTTTCAATTCAAATTTACATTTGTAATCCCTTCACCGCAGTTGTATTATTTTAAAATATTGATATTAAAGAGTAAATTTTTGATGAATTCACATTATTAGTGACACAATTATAATATTTTTTTTCTAAAATTTATTTTAATATTTTTTTCTTAAATATTAGTTTATTCGATAATTACTTAAGCAAGTTAATATTTATCTTAACTTTCTCTGTTTAGGAAAAACCAAGGATGGCTTTGAATGCCCCAAGGAACCAGAAAAGGACCGACAAGGCCAACAAGTTGCTCACCCCAAGTTCCCTCACCCAACGGATTGCCAGCGCTTCTACGTTTGCCTAAACGGTGTTGAGCCTCGTGACCTTGGATGCCAAGTCGGAGAAGTCTACAATGAAGAGTTAGAGAAATGTGATGCCCCTGAAAATGTTCGCGGATGGTCAGTATTTTTTATCTAAAGAAAATATGTATTAGATGCGCACATATACCTGACGTAAAATTTAGAATGTAATAAGGATATCGTTACCGTTACCGATACACCCTATTAAAGTTCACTGCTGAACATAGGCCTCCCCCATAGATTGCCTCCAAGGGGATATTTAACATAGTTGCCACGCTTGGTAAGCACGTTGGCAACCGCAATTTTCTTATTAGCCGTTATTAGGAAGACGCTGCTGTTTATTTCCTGATTTGTTTCCCTCTGTCACCATTTATAACGCCCACGAGATGATATGGGGTAGTAGATATTCTTACACCGCCACTACACGGTCACGCCACATATAAATTTATAATCGATTAACTGCTCAAGTTATCGAGCGCAGATTTTGTAACTTTATTTTTGGCATAAAATCAACATATATTGTGAATATTTATTTATTTATTATATGGACAACAAAACAGATAACAATTAAAATACATTAAAATACATTAAAATATAATATAAATATAACAGTTTTGTGCCAGATTGTTATCCTAAATATGTTGACACATCATTTTATATAAATACAGGAGATCAACTCTACGCTTTGCAATGTTTATGACATTCATAAGTACATTAAACAAAAACTAAAAATATACAAATAAGAAATTTAAAACCAATATGAGTTAGTATAGCCCATAAATATAGAATTTGTTAATAAATTGATTACGGCGCCACCTATCTGATCCTAGCAAATATATTGTGTGAATCCTTAAACGATCAAATCGTTTAAAAGTTACACGATCATTAATAGGCGCATTAACAATTAGATAATATATAAAATAAAAATATCATTAAATATTATAATATTAAGTAGCTGCGTATCGATATCACGTTCATAGTCAACTAACTATAGTTCTATGCTTGACATAGATCTTTCCTGGTAATATTCCTGGTAATTTTGGTTGCAGCTGGCAAGAAGTCGGTTAATGCATAGGTCCCCCGCACTATAATTTTGTTCCCAATCACCAGTCTATGTGATTTAGAATAATCGTTGGCGACACAATGTTGGCGTGAATATATTAATTATTAGAATAAGAATTATATATAAGATGAATTTACGCAAACATCAAGTCGTTATACATAGTTTAATTGGCTGATATTTGACATAGTTGACACGCTTGGCAAGTGGGTATTATCTTATTCTGAGTTATTGTTAAGGAGATGTAGTTGATCTCCTCTATTATTTCATTGTATTTTGTAAAATTACTTTCTCGATGATTGCTTAATAAATATTTTATATTTGCAGCGAGGATTGGTACAAGGATTCCGAAGATGGAGCGCCGACGCCCAAATCGAGGTCTTAATTCTAGTGATGCTAATAATTTAGTTACATTTAAGACTTCATAAGTTAATATACTATTAAGACACCTACTTTGTGTTTTTTCATTTCTTCATCCCTGTACTATATTTACAAACATAATGTAAATAGAGTAATATTAACATTTTAAGACACTGTGTTTAATTTATAAAAGTGGTTTATAGGGTATAGAGAGCCATTCTATCTTAGTACTCAGAGGTGACAACGCATCTGTAGCTTTTTTGTTTTACGTTGGTAATAGCTGACCATGGGCTGTCGATATTTTTAATATTCACGGCACTTCTCAAACCTCCGTTCGTGAACGTATACTTGTGAACGATTAAAATAGGTTAACTGCTGAACTTAGGCCTCCCCATAGACTGCCTCATATTTGGATATTTGCCATAGTTGGCACGTTTGGCAGCCGGGTTGGCTACCGATTTTTTATTATTTTGAGTTGTTATGAGAAAGATCCTGCTGCCCGTCTCCTGTTTTATTTCCCTCTGTCGCCTCCTACAAAACTCAAATACTACGAGATTGTGGATTTTCTTACACCGCCACTATAAGGCGATATTAATTTTTTGGCCGAGGAATACAATAAGGCGATCTCCTAACGGACAATAACGGGCAAGGTACGTAGATGTTTGTAGCATCGGTTGATTGAATCCAGATGGTGGTTTACTCAACTGATTGAAAAATTAGATAGAGTAGATAACCGTAAGCGGATCACAATATGTACTAATTACTGCTTAATATAAAGATTTATATTTTTGCAATTTAAACACACTATCTCAAATTTATCATTTTTAGCGCTAATGTCTATTTAAATAGTATTACGTAAATAATCAAAGCCAAATTCAAAAATCAATTCATAAAAACATCACATCATATAGATCAATACATTTGAATATTATATTTTTGCAATAAATAAAAAATGACGCTGTTTTAAGAATCGTACAACGTACAAAATCCTCGACGTGGTTTTAAACTATGTCACAACAGTTAATATATTGTATTAAGGCTTTAACTAGCCTGAATGACCTTGACGAAACGGCGATCGCAGAGATTTTAGCCGATGTCAACACCGTCTAGCAACTACGTTCTGTATTACTTATAAAAGTGCAAAGATTAATAGACTGCAGAGATGACAATTATATAAGTGACATACTGCCTGTTATGCTTGCGCATCACTGAGAATTATGTCGCGGTTACGCATCTTCAATTACAGTGCACGGTGTGGTGCTGTAGCTTTGTCCGGTAGGCATCACGAGCTATCAAGTGTTCAAGTACGTAAGAATTTTAATTATATATGTTAAATCGTATTTATTTGTGTCGTATTAAAAATATGTCGTCAAAGCGTTCGCTGTAAATTTTCCCGGGTTTGATCCCTGACAGCACGGATAAAATTTGTAATTGCAATTTTCGTCAACACGCATTGGGGAAGCACGGCGGGCATTTCCTTGCCCTAAAACCCTCTCAGAAATAAAAAAAAGAGTCCTGTGCCCAGTAGAGGGACTTGTATAGCCTATTACTTTACTTTGTAGCAATATTTATATTCGTTTCAGATATAGAAGGGTACCTTATGCTGACAAAAATATCATGTGGAGGCGACGAAAACGTAAAACATCTTTGTACCTAGATAAAACGTTCGAAAGATTGTCAGTCATGTCATGCGCCACATTTTCTATAGAGCGTAGAACATTGCAGATAGGGCAAAATAAAAAATAATCAAATATATTGTGGGAACTATTTATTAATAATATATACATTTATAGGTATTTATAATAAAAATAATGAACAAGCTGCAAGGTTCAACTAATAATGTTTTTTGTAAACACAATCGTAAAATTCCTGTTTTAATTTTTACCAATGGTTAATTGATGAAACGTAGTCAAGATCACTTCATATAAAATATCATCATCATCATCATTACAGCCCTTCACAAGTCCACTGCTGAACATAGGCCTCCCCCAAAGAATGCCACAAAGCACGGTCCTGAGCCACCTGCATCCATCGACTTCCTGCATATCTTACCAGGTCGTCACTCCATCTAGTGGGGGGACGCCCTACACTTCGCCTGCCGGTACGAGGCTGCCACTCGAGAACCTTTCTTCCCCATCGGTTGTCGGTTCTTCGAGCTATATGGCCGGCCCATTGCCACTTCAGCTTACTAATCCGTTGGGCTATGTCGGTCACTCTGGTTCTACTGCGGATATCCTCATTTCTGAGTTTATCACGCAGAGAAACTCCGAGCATAGCCCTCTCCATAGCTCGCTGAGCGACCTTGAGCTTCCTCATCCGGCCAGCAGTGAAAGGACCACGTCTCAGTTCCGTATGTCATCACTGGCAACACGCACTGGGTGTACAGTCTCGTTTTCAAGTTTTGAGGTATACCTGACGAGAAGATGTGCCGTAATTTCCCGAACGCTGCCCAACCGAGTTGAATCCGTCGATTGACCTCTCGGTCGAAGTTGGACTTACCTAGTCGGACTATTTGTCCCAGGTAAACATACTCGTCAACAACTTCGAGCTTAGTGTTCCCAACAACTACCGGCATAGGTGTGACATGGACATTAAACATGATCTTTGTTTTGTCCATATTCATCTTAAGACCTATCCGTTGGGAAACACTATTGAGGTCATTGAGCATAGTGTTTAGGTCCTCCAGCGATTCTGCCATAAGGACTATATCGTCGGCAAATCGAAGGTGAGTGATGTACTCGCCATTGATGTTGATACCGTATCCTTTCCAGTCCAGAAGCTTGAAAACATCTTCCAATGCAGCGGTAAAGAGTTTCGGGGATATGACGTCACCCTGTCTTACACCTCTCTGCAATTGGATAGGTTTCGTACTCTGGTTCTGTACTCGGATAGCCATCGTAGCCCTACTGTACAAGCACTTCAACACTTCGATATACCGACAGTCAACTTGGCATCGCTGAAGGGACTGCAGCACCGCCCAAATTTCGACGGAATCAAAGGCTTTCTCATAGTCCACATACGCCAGACATAGTGGCAAATTGTACTCCTCGGACTTCTGTACAATTTGCCGAAGGGTATGTATGTGGTCTATGGTGCTAAAGCCTTTTCGGAAACCGGCTTGTTCGGGAGGCTGGAAGTCGTCAAGTCTGCGCGCGAGACGATTCGTAATGACTCTCGAAAACAGCACGTAGACGCGGCTCAGAAGGGAAATCGGTCTGTAGTTCTTCAAGAGAGCGTTGTCGCCTTTCTTGAAGAACAAGACCACCGCACTTCTGCTCCACGCCTCCGGTGTAATGCCACCATGGAGGACGGAATTAAAGAGCTTCTGAAGGACTTCAAGTACCGGTTTTCCACCCGCTTTCAGAAGCTCCGCTGTAAGTCCATCCTCGCCTGGGGCCTTGCCGTTTTTAAGGTGCTGGAGAGCCATTCTAATCTCGCTCAGACTGACGTCCGGGATATCATCGGAATAATGTCGGATAAGACTCGCTCTTGGATCGTTACTCACACTTGCGTGCGGCTCCAACGATGACGTGTACAGCTGCCCATAGAACCTCTCAATCTCACTCAAAATCTCAGGTGCCCCGGAAACGATGCTGCCACATTCTGTCTTCAGCTTTGACAGTTGGCGCTTTCTGGCAGAAAGATCTCTGGCAAAGACTTTGGAGCCTTGGTTCCGCTCGATCGCTTCTTCAATACGAGCTGTATTGAAGTTGCGTAAGTCCCGCCGCATGCATTTGGAGATATGTCTGTTCAGTTGCCTGTATGCTGTCAAATCTGTTGAAGAATGTAGCTTCATCTCCCGTCTAACAGCCATGAGATTAAGAGTGTGATCGGAGAGATTTTGTGTTCTTCTGCGGCGGGTCTTGCAGAACTTAGCTCCGACCGCATGGACAGTTTCCACGAGCTTGTCATTTAAATCGTCCACTTCATTGCAGTCTTCTAGGCACTGAAAACGGTTTTGTAACTCGAGCTGAAAGGTTTCGGGACTTTGGATTAGAGCACGAGGGGGACGGAGCGTTGACTTCATTAGACGAGACCTCTCCAACTTAACGTTTAGGTTCAGTGTGCCTCTAACCATTCGGTGATCGCTACCAGTTTTCACCCTCGCGATCACGGAGACATCACTGAACAGTTGTCGTCTGGTCGTCATAATGAAGTCAATCTCATTTTTTTGTTGAACCGTCGGGGCTCGACCAGGTCCACTTCCTGTGGGGCCGCTTCTGGAAGAAAGAGTTCATCATAAAGAGTCCCTCTTTCTCCATGAAGTCAGCCAACTGCTGGCCCCTTGGGTTCCGTTGCCCTATTCCAAATTTCCCTACTTTCAGCTCACCGTTCTCTCTTGTGCCTAGATTTGCATTGAAGTCTCCCATTAACACCGTATATTGGGTTTTGGAGGAATGCATGGCTCTAGAGATATCCTCATACATTTCCTCCACCTCCTGATCGGGGTGTGCCGAGGTTGGTGCGTAAACCTGTATGACCTTCAGCGAATACCGTTTGGTGATTCTGAGTATAAGGTACGCAACCCTCGTCGACACACTCTCAATCTTTACAACGTTGTTAACGAGAGACTTGTGGACGATAAATCCAACACCTCCTTGGGACAGATGGTCGCCCTCCCGGTAATAGAGCAAGTTGCCGGATTCGAGGATTACCGTGTCCTCCCCCTCTCTTCGGACTTCGGATAATCCTATAATATGCCAGCGTAACTTGTCTATCTCTTCTTCTAGCTCCACAATCTTCTCGTCAGTCCTCAGGGTGCGTGCGTTGTATGTTGCCAGGTCGAGTCGTCGTAGGTGGCAACCGAACCTCCACCGGAGATTCTTAGCAATATATATAGCTTAAAATATATTTAATTTAAATTGACACGTGACCTGTTTGGCCTTCTACTTACAACTCGGCGGAAATTTGAAAAGAAGATTTTGTCTTTTCACACAAGTATTGTTTACAACTGGAGTGGTTTTGAAAAGCGTGATTAAGTGTCAGCGGTATATAATCAATTAAATACTGAACTTTATTGAAATT